CGACGAAGACTATAGTGATAATGATGATGATGATGATGTTTCAGTGAGCTCTTATCTGCGCTCGACGCAATTTGCATAGAAAAGACGTGGATTTGTTTCGATAATTCATAGATGGATGGGAAGGATGCACATTATGCATGCGATAAATACAGCGATATAGTAATGCGGAGGAATTAACAAATTTTCGGATGAAGGCGTTACATTTAATGCTTGACCATTGCTCAAAGCAAATAATAAGTGGGCAGGCACAATATGTAAAGTAATTACTTTTTTCGTCACACCAAAAGCACCATAAAAAGCGCCCAGACATCTCAGCCCTTCGATTCTGGGCTTTTTTATTATAAATCCTCGTAATTCAAAATATTAGGTTTTCCGAATTGGCCCACTCATGAATCCAGTGGCGAATAATGCCCTGATATGCATTAAAAAAGCAGTACTGTGTATCCACTATAACTATGTGTGAAGCGAAGAAGCAGCTGAGGTCAAAGGTCACCATGCGGCATTTAGGCTTTTGCTAGCATTTCCTCGCTTCCTGTTCCTCTTTTCTGGAGCAACCATTAAGAAGAGTGCGGTGTCCGTCAGCAAGCAGCACACCTGCTCCTGATGATGTGCTGGCCGGCGGTGCTACTGCTTGCTGTTTTAGCTGAAAATGCTGCTGTTGCTTTTGCTGATGAAATAATTCAGCTGCCAGGGGCGGAGCAACTGCAGATCAACTTCAGACACTACTCGGGCTACCTGAAAGTATCTGGTACTCATTTCTTACATTACTGGTACGCGTAATTTTGCTTATTTTTCGTTCCCCTAATTTAAGTAATTCGAAACTTGCCAAATTTTCCATTTTCCGTTGGAATTATTTCGAAATTTTACCAAATTTTCTCGCAAAATTTGTCAATTCCAAAACTTTTCACCTTTCACGGTTTTTTAAAAGGTTTGTTGAATCGCAACGCAGTCCGGAACAAGACCCGCTGATATTCTGGTTCAATGGTGGACCTGGTTGCTCCTCGCTGGATGGCCTTCTCAGTGAAATGGGCCCTTACCTCATTAACAGTGATGGAAAAACGCTGCACGATAATTCGTTTGCATGGAATAAGGTTGCTTTTTCCCTGCAGAACACTTCTGAAATCCACAGTTTCGGTGCTGTATATTTGATGGATTGTTTTAATCAAAAAATCACCTAGCTCAGCTGGTAAACTATTGCTAAGGCAAAAACGTCAGATTTTGGTTGCTACTCAATTAAAACACATCATAGGTAGCGTCCTTGGTTTACACGGAATCGCCGGCAGGTGTTGGCTACTCGTACGCAACAGATGGAAATGTTACAACCAATGATCAGCAGGTTCGTTTGTTAATGTATTTTTGATAAAATCACAAGAGGGATTGGAAGCGTCCGTTCACTTTGCTCCCTTAATCCCGTAAACCGACTTAGAATAAACTTGAAGAAAGTGCTGTCAAAATTCTATAAACTGGATAGCCATTTCTGTCCAGATAATCTTGGCATTCCCATGTTTGCTAACTGATTAAAAATGCAGCTTTAATGAAATCAGTTTTTTCCTCTTTATTCTCGATTCGAACGATCTGGCACAGCTGTACCTGGCGTGTGGGAGCATCGCAGTAACATCATTGGACATGAGATACCCATCACCAATAGATTGGGCAGTCTTGATTTTGGTTATATTCCCGAATAATTTGTTAAAAAAAAAACGAATGAACTGACCGACATTTGATGCTCTTCTACGTTTTGGGACACGCTCATCGCAGCCTAGTGGATGAATGTACGGCCCGCGTAGACCTAACAGGGTACATCGCTATCTGTACAACATTATCCTGGCAATTTTTTTCCTGGCATCCAGCTGCAATTACAATATCATCCGAGAGTGTTAAATTTTAATGGCTGAAAGTGATAGATACAAGAAGCCGTAACGTGCAGATTTTGAAAAGTGGGTGGAATCAGGCTGATCAGCCCTTTAGAATGTGAAATGAACGGCAGAACTGTCAGCAGATTGACCAATGAGCACTGCGACATTGGTCAAGTAACAACATAGTTGGAGAAGTAGGCTATGAATTACAGATGATTCAAATGTATCAAACATTGATAATATGACAAGTTATAATTAATCAAAGCGCAACGTAGGTGTTGGCAAAGAATTAATGCACATGAGCTACCTAAGACTGGATGTGTATATGTGGACGCAAATGGTCACTGTAGACAATATTTTCGATAATTTCAGACTGCCGAGGAGAATTATGCGGCAGTGAAAGGATTCTTCGAACAATTCCCATCGTTCCGCAACAATCCCGTTTATATAATGGGCGAAAGCTACGGAGGCATCTACGTACCAACACTAACTGTGCAAGTGATTCGTGGCTTGATCCAGTTTCCCATAAATCTTAAGGTTTAAGCTGACTCATCGCTTCAAAATTTCATGTTTCCTAGCTTCACCCAGTTTTGCTTTTGTTTGAAACTTCAGTAGTTTGATTAGCTACAGTTCGTAGCGTTGTCTTCAGTCTATGCAACTCGCAGTTGTTCCAGTACTGCACCAGCTGGTGAACAGTCTGCTAGGATCTTGGCGCTTGCCATCTCCTGCAGGAATTGCTAGTTCAGTGATTCTCCTGACAGAAGCACTCTCGTAAGGCTTTAATCGTTTTGAGATATCTGTTGGGCACTATCACCCCATCCTAAACGTTGCTCTTCTTAAACCACAAAGGGACTTTACCTATTAGGAGTTGCTCCTTTGGCACTGGTAAAATTACATTTGATGTAAAATAATCGGAAGTATTACTGTGTAATAAGTTTGTTTCAAACATCGGAAAGGTGGTGTTTAAATTTACATCTCAGTCTATCAAGACCGAACAAAAGCGACCAAAACTTGAAGCGCCACTGCGGGTCTCACATTTTCCTTGAAAGTATCTACATTTGTAAATACGCATGCGCAATCCTTCAAACTAATGTGGTTGTTGCTACATCACTTGAAACTGGGCTCATGATAATCCTAGCATTGCTCTGAGAGGCGTGAACCATTCTCAAAAATGTTCCGGCGATAGCCTGTCTGCTTGGAAGATTGCCGATGAACCCCTCATTTTGTCAGATTAATTGTTGTCGGACTGATGTTGGATTTAAGGGGATAGCGATTGGTAACGGATACGTAAGCGAGGTGCTGAACATCGATACCTCAATACGTTTTGCATACGGTCACGGGCTAATTGATGAGAAGACTTGGGATACTCTGGAGAAGGAATGCTGCAGTGGCTGTATGGACACTTGCGACCTCACCAAAGTAACTCCAAAACAGTGTATGCGTATGGTCAGTGCTTTTCAATATGTTTTTGCCCCTGAATCGCCGTATATTTTTTACGCTGTGGTCAGTTGGGCAGGATGACGTTATGGTCAGCAGAATCTGCAGTCCAACCTGAGAATTCGCAATTCCAAGTTCATCTTCTGCTAGCTGCGCGAAGACACATTGGATTAAGTTTTGACACTGTTTCGCATCAGTCCCATTCAGATATTATCAGGAATTCAGACTACTTCCACTGTGCTGTAAGCTAGAAAATGGCTGCGCCAAGTGCGCTTCACTGCTTGAAAAATGCAAAAAAATTTCCGGCAGCTTTTTCGATTCAGGATTAGAAATTAGGCAAGATAGAAAAAAGAAAAAACTGTTTCTTTTTTTGAAAAATTAAAATTTTCGTACTTACGTATTTGTTAACTGAATGTTGATGATCGTTTTTGTTGAAATAACGCCACTTAAGTCGTATCATGACTAAATAAACACGTAGCAGAACTCTTAATTTCTATTAGGACATATTCTTGAACTAGAACATACACACTTCGAACAGGCTATTGGTACTAACTGAAGGTAGTCAGCTTGGACAGATGGACTTGGCTTGGCCACAAACCGTGTACAAACATTCCAGTAGCATCACTAACATGGAACTTTCATACCAATAGCCCGGGTGGTTCTTCGTATCATTAGTAATTCGCATTTTATCAAACCAAAATATTGCAGGTGGAAGAAATTTTTGAATTTTTATGGACTGGAGGCTTGAATCCCTACGATTTGTACCGTGACTGCAATCCGCATTTGGTGCAAAACAACAGCAGGATGCGTGCCATGAAAATTGGACTTTCGCCTCGCTTGCTTATTGATCGTTTTGAAAATCACCTAAAGAATAAAAACACGCCTTTCGAAACACTTCTGGCCTTTTTGAGAGTGAGTTATACAGCTATGCGGCACGATTTTTTTATTACGCGCGGATTTAAATAATCGCCTATGTGATAAATTTGCCTCTGTCGGTGCATCGCTAGACTTTACCAACGTAAAAGTCTTTGGTTAATTCGTCCTGGCTCCTAGTAAGATATAACAAAAAAAATTACAGTAACAAATAAATTTTTTTAAGTAATAATAATTGGTAACATATAATTTGCTCGATTTTTAAGACTGCCTGAACAATTGGGGTGGACTGATCCTACGCTTCCTTTATTATTGAAGTGCTCTTATGCACTACTGAGCTCATCAACGGTGGCAGGATGGCTAGCTTTTGACCACCATTTGATGCAGCTTTGACGAAGTCAAAAGGAAAAAATAGCTGCTGCATAGTCGGAAATCCAGCCTGATTCATTAGCAACGGATAAAAATGAATAAAATAAAAAAACCCGAAATATTCCTCATATTCAAATCGAGTTGTGGTTTTCAGATAAGCCACAATCGCGGAAATTGATGGACCTTGGGCTGATTGTCAATTGAATTGGGGAAATGTTAAATAGTATTAACTTCTTAAAATCTTTTATTCACATTTTTTGAGAAATACTTTTTCCTAAAATCCTCGTAATTTCAAACCAGATATTTGCACTTTTAGCGAGTCACTCCACCACTTGGTGATGTGCCATGTTTGAACGATACAGCATTAACTCGATATATGAACAGCGCCACGGTGCGCCAGGCTCTGCACATTCCGCACGATTTACGCCAGTGGGATATTTGCAGTGATGAAGTAATTATACGATTTTTTTTTCTGCTAGGCTGAAATCCTGAATCCTCGAATCGTTGAAGTTATCACGAATAACCATGAGTCACGGAAAAGGTCATTCTTTGAAATGTATCGAAAACTTAACTGCAGCGAGATGATATTTTAACTCAAGAGTTTCAGGTCACAAGCAAATTTGTCAAAATGTACGGTGATATGGGGCCGTTTATCAAAGAGATAATTGAAGCCAATGTTCGAGTGTTGCTTTATTATGGTGATACCGATATGGCGTGTAATTTCATGATGGGCCAACAATTTGCCTCTTCTCTCAAAGTTCCGGTATCTTTTCTTTTAGTTTAATATTTGAAGTTTTTATTAAATCGATTTGGATGCCGAAGTCAAAAGTTAAAAAATCGGAATCCCTTCGTATTCGCTCTGTATTAGAACCAAAGCCACTTTGGAAATAGCCCGAATGGCTGGTTACAAAAAGCTGATCACGGGCTTGATTCCGTAGCATGCCCTGGTACTAATTTACCATCCGAACGAGTGAGTGAATCATAGAGACGGATTAGTTGTCCGGCTAGATTTACATCTCTTTCATCTATTTAATTCTTACACCTTACTAAATTATATTATTACCACAGTCGTAGTACTGACGAGGTCCAACTGTGGCAATGGTAAGAAATGTATACGACTTAATGGACCGAAACATTTC